ACACCAAAAACCAGAGAAAGATTCAACTAGAAAAGAGTACTACAGGCCAATCTCCTTCATGAGCATAGAGGAAAAATCCTCATTAAAATCCTCGCAAATAAGGGCTGGCCAAATAGCTCAGCAGATCAAAGCGCCTGGTTAGGCAAACATAGGGGCCAGGAGTTCAATCGCTGGAACTGCTGTTCCAGCCTCGCCCTTAGGGTATGCTGATCCGGTGATTGAGACTGGGTGTGGTGATGTGTGCTTGTAATCCCAGCACTTGGGAGGTTGTAAGCAGGAGGATCACTACAAGTGTGATTTATGTAGTGAGACTGTGTAGATCACAGTGATATATGTGTGCCCATGTCTATAGCAGCACAATTTGTGACAGCCAAACCTTGGAACCAACCAAAATGCCCATCACCTGAGGAATGGATCAAAAAGATGTGGTATTTTTATACAATGGAGTATACTCAGCTACAACGAAAAGCAAACTTGAAGCCTACGTAGGTAAGTGGATGTAATTTGAGGCTATACTCATAAGTGAAATAAACCAGACCCACATGTGTAAATATTGTATTGTCTTCCTCAAAAGATGAAATACAAACTGAAAAATATAACAGATACAGTTAAATGGAAAGAAACGGTACTTAATGATTTAATGACAGAGAGAAAGGGGAAAAGTTAGGAAATAAGGTAGGAGAAAACCATTTACATTTATATACAAGTTTGCTAAGAATTTTCATTTTTGAAAAATAGCAGTTAATGGGTAGGATTCTCACCCTGACTAACTTTATGCTGATATCTATGAACTAAGCAACTAAATCCTGCTTGAAATACCTGTCATCTTGGTCTTTCAAATGTGTACCATTTGTAATGTCCTATCAATTATTACTATACTCTCTTTAAAGTGATTTTTAAAGGTAAAAAAGAAAATGAGAGTCAAGAACCAAAATTTAAAATGTCTTGAAAGTATGTGGTAATAATCAATTATATGTACCATCTTGCAAAACTATATGTCATAATCTGAACAACAGATTTGATGATAAAAATAGATAATATATCAAATACTGTCAATCAGCTATTCTTGTTTTGAAAATCTGTAACATATGTATTGTTATATGTTACCCTGTTTCTCTTTGCTTTTGTTTTTCTTGCTTTTGTCTACAAAATAAAAGAAAATTATAATTTAAAAAAAAAAGATATAATAACATTCAGCCACTTTCCATCTGTTAGCTTGGAAATGAAAGAGGCCTCTAGAAGATCATCCTATAAAATCAACAATATACAACTATATAGAGGAATAGACCCAGAGCGCAGGCCCAGCATGGAACCCTGCAGCAAAACTCCCTGCAAAGAGGCTAGAGGCAAGACCTACCCAGCTGATTCAGGAGCAGAACATCTTATCAGAGAGACACAAAGGGTTCAACTCTAATGCCTGCAGCAGAAAGAAGTGGAGCACACAGCCAGATCCAAGCAACACCCACCTGGAGGAATCTGAACGTCATAGATTCAGACCTGGTGCTAAGGTAATAACTCTATCCAAGCTCTACACCAAAGGTCAGAAGACAGCGGTATACAAAATGACAAAGAGAAGGAATAAAATGCAGTCTCTGGCCCCGAGTCCACCCAGTACAACTGCAGAAGACACTAGCACTGAGGAAACTGGAAATCACATGCCAGATATCTCGGAAATAATAGCGTTGACAGTAAAGAATCAACTGCAGAAAGGTATAGAAGAAATCAGATCAGAAATAATTTTGGAACTAAAAAATGTAGTGGTAACTATATCAAAGAAGTACTAAGTGCTTCGAAAGAATACACTGATAAAAAAAATAGAGGAGAATATAAAAATGATGGAACCCCTGAATAAACGATTTAGGAAAGAAATAGAATCTATGAAACAGGTTCAAAGTGATATACAGGAAATTAAAACCTCAATCACAAGCTGGCAAAATTGTTTGCGTGAAAGTGAAAATAGACTTTCTGACATGAAAGACTCCATTGCAGCTAGTGAAAAAGTAAGAAAAGATCTCTTAAAAACAACGAGGATGCAGGAAAAAAATAATTCAATACCTCAAGACGATGCAAAGATGAACAATGTGAGACTAATAGGCATCAATGAGAAGGAAGGAGTCAATACAAATGATATAAAAAGAATATGGGCAGAAGTAATAGCAGAAAACTTCCCAAATATGGGGCAACAATCTGACATTCCTGTAACCGAAGTATATAGAACTCCAAATAATATCAATCCAATGAAAACCACACCCAGACACATAATAATCAAGATTCCAGAAATTAAGCATAGGAATAGTATACTAAAAGCCACTAAAGAAAAGAAACAGATCACATTTAAAGGAAAACCCATCAGAATAACGGCAGATTTTTCTTCACAAACCATCAAGTCAAGAAGAGCATGGAGCAAAGTACTTCGAATCTTGCAAGAAAACAAATTCCAACCCAGACTGATCCATCCTGCAAAACTATCTTTCAAATATAATGGAGAAGTGAAATATTTTCATGACAAAGAACAAGAATTTCATGATGACAAAGCCAAGCCTACACAGACTACTAAACGATGTTCTAGAGAGGGAGCAAATTGATCATAGCCCCATGAATGAGAAGGGAAAGAACCCGCCAAATAGGGCAAACAATTAAACAGAGGAGAATAAGAGGTATACAATGGTAGTCTTTCAGTTATTCTTTTGTGTTCAGCAGCAGAATATTTTCATCAGCACACCCTACAAATGGACTTCTCTTCCACTTGATGAGTCATGATTCCACCTGAGTCTACAGGGTGGATTTCAAAGAAATAGCTGTAGCTCAGTTCCACAAGTGACGCCTAGCCACCAGTAACTGTCATAGTCATTATGCATGTCCACAACACACTAGAACTTTGTGTGATATCCTATCCTCAAACTGTTAGAAGTGCTGGTCATTTACTTGCCATTCCAGTATTTATCTTATGTTTTACTCTTAGTACTTCTTTGCTATCATGAAAACTTTTTCTTAGTTCAATTGTTTTGAATCATTTAATTTTCTGAATATTGCTTAATCTTAATTTTTGTTCTAAGATTTATACTGTATCTTTGACTTACAATTTATTTAAAAGACATTGTATGATATATTCTCCTAGTATTAGAAACTTTAAAAAGTATATTTCCATTTTCTGTTGACTTTTAAAAAAAAACAAACAGAGGTTTGTACTTATGTTGTTTATTTATTATTTTTTGCCTATATCTTGTAATATGGGAAAGTACTTTGGCAGTAACAATACACAATGTACTAACCATTGTTACTCTCCTAAAATCTTGTTTTGAGATTTTGTACCATTTTTTTCCCTTTAAAATAAAATAACTGATGTCAAAAAAAAAACTATATAGAAAAACAAAGACCAATGTTTGACTCATGGGTGTACCTGGAATATATAATTTAAGGTGATTTTTACTGTCTTAACAATTTATAAGGAGTTTATTGTTAATATTTAAAATTAGCTATTTGACAATATGAAAAAAAATAATTTTGAAGAAAAAGTCTTCCCTAATCATTGAGAATTGTGTAAAACAACTAGAAGCAGGTTGATCCCAACCACAGCTTGACAAAGGAAACCCTTAAAGCCCTCAAGGCAACTGACTCTGCATTGTTAACAGGACAGATTCTGGGTGTGATCTTCTCAAAGTGGCTTTGGAAAAAAACTACAACAAAGATGATTTCACTTTCTCCAGAACCTAGATGCACTGTTCTAGTTCTCTTTCTGTACTACACGGGGAGCTTCTCATGGCCTTAGTAAGCATCTTGCTAGCTTCTACTCTTTCACAAAGCCCAGCATACAAACAAAGTAAGCAGCTAATGTGAAGGATGGGACTAAAAGTGCATGCTTTGTTTGCTTCTGAGCTATTAGAAATGGCTTTGGGAATGTGTTAATTGGCTCTCCATTGCTGTAATAAACACAAGACAGTCAACTTACAAAAAGGTTATCTGGGCATGATCACAGTTTGGGAGGATACAGTCTATGATCACCTGGCCACATTAGTTTTGGACCTACCAAGCAGCATCTGATGGAGGTGGGGAGCACATGGGGAAACAGCACCACTCACCTCATCACTAGGATGAAAAACAGAGGCAGATGGGGATGGGGTCCTATCTCCCCTTCAAGAGCATATCCCTTGTGGTCAGAAGACTCCCAAGTAGGCCCCTTAAAGTTTCCATTACCTCCAAACTGTGCCACACTGGGAATAAGCCTCTGAGGGATGTTTTAGATCTGAACAATAGCAGTGGAAGTCTGACCAGAGGCTGCCCACTAGGTCATACTTGGGTACTAGAAAGGAACTACTTGCCATGAAAAAACCAATTAGCTGAATTCAGACCACTGTCCTATTGGATTTATTTTTGCTATTGTTATACATCTTGGTTTCCTTGTCTTTCTATCAGCAACATAAAAATTAATTATACTGTCATGTACTAGCAACAAAGTTTATTTTCTGTTGCATTTATGTTCAAAGACATTTCAATGAGCAGACTCACAGTCACTAACTATAACCTACAGTGGAAAATCGCAGACTGACTTGTCTTTCTAATGTCCTGCCTCTTCTCTCACTCTTTCATTAAAGCACCCGGAGGGCTACAGAGATCTAATCATTATATCTTCAGATAAAATACATTGCGCTGTGCTGGTCATTTATTGCTTCCTTCTGTCAGTTATAGGAACAAAAACGCATGAACAATAGTCCAGGGCAAAATCTCCTTTTGATATGACACACATATGAATATAGAAGCAATAATTGGATGAACCATCTCATCCAGACTCCTGGAAATGATGCAAAATAATTGTTCTTCACCAGTCATTGGTTCATTTCTTCTCAGAGACAATGCTAGAAAATGTCACATTTTGGCAACACTTAAATCAACCCATAGGATTCCCAATATCACTGATCAGTAATAGTGACATTATGACACAACATTCCTTTAAACTGAGCCTTAAGATACACAGCTCTTTAACTCTGGGTTGTTCCTTTTACCTTGGCCAGATGAGAGTTGATCCATTTTGTGAAAGTTCGTTTTTGTACAATCTCTTGTTCATCTAGAAAGAAAAAAAAAAATAGACAACACAGTATGTCACAAAGTTATCGCATGGAAAAGGTTACATGACTCTAGAAGTAATCAGAGTCATTTTAATCTTCTAAACCATTTAATCAATTATTATTTTGAAGGATGAAGAGAACTTTAAATATATAGTCAATTAGACTAATTCTTTCAATATTATCAGCAAATATTTTAAAATTTATGAGATGTTAGCCCTGTGTTTACCATCATTCAATTATTGAAAGTTGGCCAACGAATTATTTCTTAATGATGCTATTAAGAATAAATTTGTCTGGGGCCGGGGAGATGGCGCAGTGGAATAAGTGCTTCCCTGGCAAGCGCAAGGGTCTGAGTTCAATCCCCGGTTCCACAGAAAAAAAGAATAAATTTGACTGAGACCAACTAAGTGTCAAGGTTCTATCAGGTGCAAAGGGGTACAGAGCGATGAACAGGACAAGGTTATGCCATGGAAAATGCAAAGGTGGATAAGCAAGGGCATCTGTGTCGCAGAGGTACATGATATTCAGTATGAATGGGCTGCGTAAATTAGGCATCACAGGAACCTTTCCCTGACAGGGAATCAGAGGACTTCCCCATATCTCTATCTGCTAAAATTCATACTTTTATGCGGAGGGTGGGCAGAACCTGTGACTTGTTTCTTGCTAACAGAATATGACCAAGGCACTAGGATGTCACCCCAAGATCACATTATTTGATATATTCGATCTTAGCTGAATGGGGTGAGAGGTTCTCCAGCTGGCCTTAACACACCAAGCAGCCATGCTGTGAAGTTAATGAAGAGGCCATGCTGGGAACAGGGAGTTCCCCTTAGAGTGAGGAGCAACCTCCTGCATGGCAGTCAGAATGGAGGCCCCAGTCTTACAAGAGCAAAGGACAGACTCTGCCTGCATTGTGAGCAAGACCAAAAGCCAGTTCTCCCTAGCAGGGCCTGAGGATGAGAATGCGGCCTGCTAGACCCTGAGGTGTGGCTACTCTGTGCATGGACTGCACACCCACAAAAATGTGAAGTCATGTGTGGTATTTTAAGCTGCTCAGGTAATGGTGATTTGTGATTCAGCAAGAGAAAACTAATTTAGAGGGAAAAGAGTAGAACGTAGGGAGACTTTAACTAGAAGTTTAAAGAGAGGAAGACCAAACAGAGGACACAATTCAACACCTTAGAAAGAAGGGGTGAAATCTGTTCACTCTCCCATTTATACTTAGATGTTTGCTGTTCGTTACATACCCAGTTAGATGTTGTGGGTGACAGGGATGAACAAGACACAGACCCAACCCCCCTCCTTTGAGACAGGACGCCCAAACCCACACTTCTGGACCTGACCATGCCCAGGCTTTGGGTCAGGGCATCTGAGTGTTTGCTGGGATGTGACCTTCATCAGTGTGACAAATATGTAAGAATGAATGACTGAATGATTGAATTAATGAAATAACAAATTGTTTAGAGGGGGAAATTTTGGATGCAGTGACAGAATTTACAAAATGTCATTATTTCTAATGTATTTTCAACACGCATTCTTATTTTAACAAAATGCATATCCAACACAAAATAAAACAAGCCAGTATCATATAATAGGCAATATTTCCTGTTTTCTAGGCATTGATATGTATGTTTGGAGGTATACATAGTCAATTATTATGTAACATATATTACATGAATTAACTCATTCAGTTTTTATAACAGACCTATATTAAGGACCATTATAATTTCCATTTTGGAGACAAGGACACAATGAAGGAAACATTGAAATCACATATATTTTCCACAGTCACCCTTCACAGTCATGTTTTAGGCTGCAGAAATCTGTTCCCATAATATGCTGCTACTGAAGAATAACATAACATTAGTATGATTAGACTTACCAAATATTAATTACGTGAAAATGACAAGCCTGTGGTTAAATAAACTTGAGTTTGACTTTGTATACTTCAGATTCTATCAACAAAGTCATGCTGCAGCAAAATAATCTGAACTAATCCAAGTGAGTTTAGTGGAACTCAGCAATTCATAGGACATTGACTGCAATCCTAAAGCTAAAAGCCTAAAGATGTGTTAGAGATGGTGCAAATACTGACACTATTTGAGATCAAAAACTTCATTTCATTTACACTTTTGAAATGCAAATGTGAAATAGCTCAAGTGTGTGCCATGTGTTATAAACTTAAGAACAGCACGTGATGCTGTATCATCCCTGAATTATTCCTGCACTATTGCATGACTGTGTTTCTGCTGCTACCGCTTTTTATTAGACAGTGCTGCACAGTAACAAGTTCCATCTAATGGCAAACCTCTGAGCTGATATTTAGATTTCACCTGAAAGGCCTGCTCTAGAAAGCTCTGATTATCTTTTCTGTAGCATTGTATACATGTAAATGTCAAATTCTCTCCATGCTTCCTTTTATTTTCTGTGTGGCAAAAACAGATTTCACTGGGTTCTAAAAACCTACTTTTGATATTTATTGGATACAGCTGGCTGAGTTCTAAGTGAATATTTTCTAATATTTAGGAAAACAGTCCTAAAACTTCATCATATCAGAAAACTCTTTTCTTTCCTTTTACATAAAACCTGAATAATACAGTTGATGATTTGGTAATCAAATCTGATTTCAAAAGCATAAATAATTTAAATTGCAGAAGTAACACAGACAAACATAAATATTTACTAACTTTCATTTTAAAAAGTTGTGATTGATCAGGTTTCTTTATGATGTTGTTGATCCAAACTAACCCCTCTGGTAAGGGTTTATAAGGTTGTCCTCATATATATGTCTCTGAATTAATGGATATTTCATTGTTTTTATTTATTTTCAGTATACTTAAATATATTTAATTGGTAATGATCATATTAATGATTTTTCTGTCTTCAGCATTTAAAAAGCAACTGCATGTTATAGTCTTACTGAATGTTAATCAATATGCTTGCCAGGATTTTACTAAGTACACTAACTTAAACATTTTACTGACCATGATTTTAGTTCTGAACACAGAGAAACTTGTCTTATCTGACCGGTAAATGCAGTCCTTTAATTCTAAAGATTACAGAGAACCAAGCGTTGATCTGGGATCAGTTTCACTCACTAATTCCTATTTGTGAAGCCTGAGATACCCTCAGTTCTTCAGCCATTCTCCTAGAGCTCACCTTTGGTTCTTTGCATCTTCTCATCCCCATCTGAGTCTGTCAGGAATTTCCATGAATTTTTACCTTCCTAGTTCATCTATACAAGCATCGGCCCAGCTCACACTGCCATCATTTGGATGCCTGCCTGTTCCACCTCTAGGTGAGGTCTGACTTCTTTTCCCCACGTTCTTATTCATGACTGCTCAGTAGATTTTCAAGAACTAAATGAAGGAGTTGTGGCCTTGCTCAGTGGTGGAGTATCTGCTTAGCATGTGGGAGATGCTGGGTTTAATTCTGTCTTGGTTGAATCAATTCTCTTTCTTTGCCAAGACAAAAACCCAACACCCAAAATTAAAAAAAGAAAGCTTTATTTGGCTCGCAGTTTGTGGAGGTTTCAGTCCATAATCAGCTGGCTCTAAGGCAGGGTGGCACATGGAAGAGGGGCAACAGTGTAAGGCAGAAGAAGACAGCAAAATCAATAAGAGAAAACCAGGCTGGGGGGACGGCTCAATGCAATAAGCACTTCCCTGGCAAGCTCAAGGGAAGAGTTCAATCCCTGGTTCTGAAAAAAAAAACCGGGAGAACAAGCCTCTTTCCTTCCCTTATAGTGTATGTAGGCTACCCACCATAGGGCAGGTGGAGCATGCACATCATCTCTGTGCCCTCCTCTTGCACAGGCTCGGGATGTTAACAGAGTGAGGACCCTGGCTCCCTGCTGAGTCACTCAGTTAAACTTCTAAACTTCTCAAGTTGACTCGATGTGTCAACTATTACAAATCTCTAGAGTCTTTCCCACCCACAAAGAAAGAAAGAAGGAAATGAATGGACTAATGAAGTACTGGGGACTGAGACAGAGCCTCTGCTCTGTAGGAACCAGAAGAACAACAGACAGACATCTGTATAACTCAAAGCAATGTGTCCATGACCATAATGGAAGAACACAAAGATGTCAAAGAACATAAATACAGGTAAAGTAACTCTTCTACTGATTAATGCAGTGGACTGGAAGTTCCAGAGAAGTTAAAGTTAGGAGGTCTGGTTGAATCAAACATCATATAATAATAGGAAATGCCCAAGTAGAGAAAGATGCATAAATGGCCTAAGGTAAAATCTGAAAGAAGTGGAGGGACAGGCACCAGGGATGCTTTGTAGATTTCTGCCTGAGAGGGAAGACTGTCAGATTCTAGATGGGACTGCAGCATCCAGGCAGAGGAGAGGTGGGGACAAAGTATGAAGTGAGTGCTCCCTAGATACCAAGTGGTAATAGACTAGTTTATAATCCATTTGGGGTATGACTAATACTGGATAGAAGTGGATGAAATTTCCCTCCTTCTCTTGCAACTTGCATTGTATTTTTTAAAAATTAGCAATGCAAAATTAGCAATAAGCTCATTATAAGAAATCTCTGAATCCTTTTTTTTTTTTTTTTCCTGTGTCTTCCCTTTCTGTTTTTGTTTGAAAAATATTTGGTTGTACAAACTTCCCAAGTTGGAGACAACTGGGATCACAAGAGCACATGGCCCTGGAAAAGGTGGTTATAGAAAATGACTCCCACATCCAAGGTAGTATCATTCCATAATGAAAAATCAAAGGAGTTGGCTTGGTGCTCAGTTTCTCTGTTTTTTGCCTACTTTTAGATATTTCTTCAGTGTTTTGCCATTTCAAGACAAGATCATAACACATGCAAAATGCACAAATGAAAGCCACCATAGCCAGGGAGCTGACATTTGAACACATTCAAATAATGTCAACAGTTCTCCTCCTGATGTCACATCAGAAGTGACTGTGAATGTCACACACTGTGGTTCACCCTGCTGAGCTACTCATGCCCCTGGTAACACAGAGGTCAAAAGAAAAGACA